ATGAATATATATATATATACATACATACATACAGACCTATATCTACCTCTGCCTACCTATCTGTCTACCTATCTATCTGTCTACCTATCTATCCCTATCTCTATCTCTATCTATATCTATCTATATCTGTTTATCTATCTATCGAGCTATCTATCTATCTATCTATCTATCTATCTATGTAGAGGGTTTGCTTTAGGTCTTGGTGCTCTGCTGTTGGAAATGTTTGGTGCTTTGGCTGGAGCTCTGGGTGGAAGCTTCCCAAGTTCGTTTGCTTTGCGTTTAGGGTTTGGGGATTTAGGGATTTAGGGTTTTTTGGGTTTAGGGCTTATAGGGCTCTAGGGTTCTTAGGGTTTCAGGATTTCGGGCTTATAGGGCTCTAGAGTTTTAGGGTTTAGGGCTTACAAGGCTTAGTGTGGGTGAGGGCTGGGGGACCAAGCGAGTCCGCAACCCTAAACACTAAATCCCGCTTAGTCTTACATCGTCAGGACTGGTAGGCAATAATACAGAAGCCTGCAGAATTGACAACACTATTCCTTCGGAGTCCTTTCTTTTGTCATTATCCTGCGACTCAAATCCCAAACCCTACATCTTAAAACCCTGAACTAGAAATAGAATCCTCACCCTGTCCAAGAACCCTCGATCCTCACACTTTAAACTGTGAAAATACCCTAGACCGGAAAACGGCACAACCCCAAACCCTAATTCTCAAAAGCCCTACAACCCCAAACAGTAAATCATCAAACCTAAGTTCCCGCCTGAAACCCTACAACCCCAAGCCCTAAACCGTAAAGCCACTCGATACACTAAACCCCAAAAGCCGTAAACCCCCCAAAACCCTAAACCTAGTGAAAACCCAACTCTAGCTATTTCAACCCACCCTGCGGCTGTGGCTCCAGCTACCTACATAACACGGTTTTGAGGGTGTAGGGTTTGGAGTTTAGCCGGGTTGAGTGCCTCTCAGTAGCTAGCGGCAATAGCAGGTTCCTGGGTCACAAAGGAATAATAAGAATAACAATAATAGTAATAATAATAATCATAACAATAAAAATAACAATAATAACAGTGATAATAATAATAATAAATAATAATAATAATAATACTAAAAAATGGGGTTAGTCACCTATTTAAGTAACGGGAGGTCTGGGGTGAGTTTGGCGGTTCCCTTTTTGGGGCTGCCCTAGAGTCCGTAGAGGATCCTAAATGTAGAATTGGTTCAACCAAAAAAACAAAGAACGGAACTGTAATGGAGCAGCCTATAAGTACCTAACCATCCCTAAACCCACCCTAAACCCTAAACCCTAAACCCCCAAACCCCTAAACCCTAAACCCTAAGCCCTAATTTTCTTAAGCTCAGCCCTCCGATAAGATAAGACGGCCTTTCGACCCGGGCTCGCAACTCGTCCTCCGACCTTGGCTGCTGCGGCTTTTTTTTGGGGGGTTCAGGGTGCAGGCTGTTTAGGGTTCATAGGGTTTAGGGAGGCTAGGGTTTAGGGTTCCCCCAAACCCTAAACCCTAAACCCCTAAACCCCTAAACCCTAAACCCCTAAACCCTAAACCCCAAACCCCTAAAGCCCTAAAACCCTGAACCCCTAAAACCCTAAACCCTTGAAACCTCTGAAAAGCCTCAACCCTCCAGCAGCACCAAGTCCAGAGAGCCTAAAGCCCAAGCCTTGAACCCGTAACCCCAAATACCCTACCTCTTGAAGGGGTTTAGGGTTCAGGGTTTAGGAGGGTCTGGGGTTTAGGGGGTTTGGGAGGGTTTAGGGTTTAGGAGGGTATAGGGTTTAGGAGGGTTTGGGGTTTAGGGTTTGGGAGGGTTTGGGGTTAGGGTTCAGGAGGGCTTAGGGTTGAGGACTTGCATCAGGAATTCATAATAAGGAGGCCCTAAAAGACTAGGCCCAGGCTTCGGAGGTGAGGAACTCATACCAAGGAGCCTCACAACTCGAGGCTTCTGAGTGTCCAGGAAGGCTGGGTTCTTGTCAAGGGAATCTCATACTTTAAGTTACCATTATAGGTCCTTATTGTGGCAACTTAAATACCCTAAACCCTAAACCCCAAACCCTGCTTAAGAAGAGCCCAGGGAGAAGCAGAAGCCTGCCATTCCTCTCCGGGCGGCAACGTCTGAGAGGCAGCAGCCTGCAACACAAAAGGAGGGACGAAGCCTTAGACGGTTTAGGGTTTAGGGTTTGGGGTTGTGGGTTTAGGGTTCACTACGTACCGATAGTAGTAGAATGTAGTTTCCATATTAGGAGTTACCGTTGATGATATGAATCCTGCATTACCGTAAGGGCCCTAAACTATGGGAGCTATGGTCTATTCCTTAATATGGCTAATGCAGGATTTATACCATCAGCAAGTGCTATTATGATTTAGGGAAAGGTCCCCCGTAACAATACATACCTAGGACCCTTTGGGAATATTGTACCGGGCCTGAAGAAGCCTAGGATTCCCCTAACGATCCTTCATGGGGTTCTTTCAAAGGAGTTCTACAAGGCGTACTACACGGGAGTTTCCGAGAATTAGGGGTACCCTAGTTTGGGGTCCTTTATAAAAAGGATCCTCCCATTTCGGGTGCTATATTAGGGTCCCCTATTTTCGGAAACCCACAATGGTGTGTAGCATGAGCGTTGGCTTGCTCTTCTTATCGATGACATCTGAAACGGTAGTCAAGAAGGACTGCCATGAAATCGATCCGTTCAAGTCAGCATACTGTGAGATGATGACATGCCGCACGGATCGAGTGAGAGCCTGGGTTGTAATCCTCTTCTGATTCTCAACCTCACTCAAAGCAACCGAAGTCTCAAAGAGACTGTCGGCGATGGTCTTGCAACGGTCTGGCACACGAGCGGAAGAAGGCAAGACTTCCGTAGCCAAGCGCTTCAAAATCTCTGCTGGAAGCTCTTTCAACATCTCGGCAACGGCGTTCTTGGTACGTAAAATGGGATTCGGTCGCATAGTAGACCCTAAACCCTAAACCCTAAACAAATTTATTGAAAGGAATCCTGTGGGATTGTATTGACTCTGCATAATTATTCAAGCTTCTTTCTATACTGTGAAAGTAAATGATTGTCTAGGGTTTTAAGTTTAGCGGTTTAGGGGGTTTAGGGTTCGGTTTGGGAACTATAGGGAGCTCGTTCACTCACCCGGAAGTCTTTTCAGTTTGCCTTCTTCCGCACTCGTTTACCTAATCCCTGAGCCCCAAACCCTGTAAACCCTGCGCTCCCGCGTCGTAGTCACCATTTCATGGAGCCTGCGCAGCAGCATAGTCGGTGACGGCCGTGCCGGAAAGCAGTGGGTGGTCTTCCTGGCTTCGAGTTTAGAAAAGATACTACAAACTTAACAGCGTGAGGGTTTAGGGTTTGTATACATGGTGAGAACCCTGCCCAGAACCCCTCAAAACCTTGATCCAAGTCTCCAGCAAACCGTTTATGAAACTCCCAAAACAGCCTCAACTCTTCTAGAAACCCCCAAAACCCCCTGAACACCTCCAAAGCCCTGCAAATAAGCCTTCATCAAGGCCCCCATGAGGAACCTAGAAGCCCGAGCCCTACATAAAAACCCGACCCTTAAGCCCCCCTAAAAACCCTTCATTTGAAAGACTTATTAAAAAAAACATCATAAAGAAGCAACCTCAGAAAACAGCAAGTGTTTGTTTTGGGTTTCTTTTTTTTGGGGGGGTAATAAGGCAAAGCCTCAACCCTTAGTGGCCTGAAGCCAAACCCAACGTCTCCATTGAACCAGATCTCTGTACTTGGGATCCTGTTAGTCGGTTTAGGGTTTAAGGTTCATGGGTGCCTGTAAGGCAACCCCAATAGAGACTGTACCTACATATAGTCTCCATTGTAGTTCTTGTTCTGGTTTTCCAATTTTATGGTAGGACCCTACAATCTAAATTTTGCTTAAAAAAAGGAACTACAATGGAGACGATAGGTAGGTAGCTCATCTTAGCTGAAAAGTCCTCCACAAGGCGCTCGCAGAAGGACTCGGGCCTTCCACGGATTTCGGACTTTTGGACTTTTCGGACGTTTAGGGTTTAGGGCTTAAGGGGTTTCGAGATAAGGGCTGCTCTATAAGGCTCTGTACAGGCTGTAAGGTCGCTCAGAGCTTTAAGGTTTGCGGCTTTTGGGGGTGGGTTTCCGCGAATGCTGAAAGGCTTCCTGTAATGGGGAGAGCCAAGGATTCTCGGAGAAGGGTCACCATGCGGGGTATGAGAGCAAGGTTTCACAGCTCCAGCTTCAAAGCTTCCTAGGATGCTTTAGGCTGATTAGGGGAGTTTTTTTGGGGGGGTCTTAAAGGGTCCTACGTATTGTTGTGGAGGATATTTCCCCAAGTCATTTAATAGTAATTCCGAAAATGGAAACCCTACATTCGACTACCATAGGTGCATATATAGGACCCTTTTTGTGGGTAGTTCGCATCTCAATTTTGATCCAGGGAGTTCCGGGCTGGGAACATGGAGTTCTGCTAAACCCTAAACCCTACACCCTAAACCCTAAACCCCTAAACCCTACGCCCCTAAACCCTAACGCCCCTAAACCCTAAAGCCCTAAACCCTAAACCCTAAACTTGAACAGGGAGTTCTGGGCGCAAAGCTCAGGCCCGAGACCTGGTTTTCGAGCTCTCAGGTCGAAGAAGAGTTGGGACGTGGAAGGTGAAAGTTTAGGGTTCAGGGTTTGGGGTTTAGGGTTCAGGGTTTGGGGTTTGGGGTTTGGGTTTGGGTTTAGGGTTTTGTTGATATGCCTCCACTTCGTACAGAGCTGAGTCTGTTCTGCGGGCGACTGTGGCTTCAGGCATTGGCTACGAAAGAGCCTTGAGTCATCTGTATAGCTCTAGGCAACAGTGACCACTTGTACAACCCGAAGGTCACAGACTAGAGAGACTCGCACAAATCAAGAAGTGTACGTGCTGTGTGAAAATTTGTAGGGTCCTTCGCGCTTTCAATGGGAGCATAAGACGTTGGACTGCAGACTGCTGGTGTGGAAGCTGGCTATTTGTAGGTTATGAGCGCCCAAACCGAAGAAACCACTGGGCAGCTACCGAACGGGACAGGAGTCAGCAGAGCTCTGGATCATAGTTCGGCAGCAGTTGGGGGTGATGTGGAGACATCACCAGTGAATGTGGTGGATGGCCAGCAGCAACAGACAAGAGACGCGGAGTCTGAAAGGGATAGGCGTCCAGAGTTGCAAGCAACGGTCCGCACGGATGCTTCTTCGCGGGCAGAGACTACAGCCAAGCATGCGCAGGCGAGGCTAGGAGAAGCTTCGACGACGCTGGATTTGGGTGGGCGATCTGTCGCGGAGCAACAAGGATCTGGTGAAAGGCCGGGAGCAGTGCAAAATGGCTATCTAACCCCAAGGGCGGGACCCTTGGAGTCCGTACAGCAATCCTGGATGACCTCAATGGAGGTGCCAAGATGGATGGTGAAGTTGGGAAATCTGCTCAACGGAGGGTCGGGAATTCCCTCTGCAGAGCTGGCCCCGAGTCCGTATCCCGGAGCGTCGCCGCTTTACTCGACGCCTCCGGGAGGGGCGACCTTCAGACTGAGGTCACCGGCGAAGGCTCGTCCGATACCAGCAGCTCCGACCCCTCCGTCATCGTCGAGTCTTCCTGCAGAAGCGATACAAGCTGAGGTACAGCGCCAGCTACAAGGCGTGATGGCACAGCTGAAGCAGTACGGAGATCGCAATGAGCAATTGCAGTGTGAGCTTGATGATGCGAGGAGACAGTTGCGTGAGTTACGGCGTGAGGAGTATATGCAAGAAGCCGGGGGTGCAGCACCACGAGGATTATTAGGTGATCTTGCAACAGCTCCATTAGACCCTGGAGTACTTCTTGGCTTTCCGGAACCCCAAGGTGAAGAAATGATGCCTACAGTACAGCCTGTTGTTTCTAAAGGTCCAGGCGTATATCGGGGGGATGATCATGAGCGACTAGGACCTATGGGCCTCAATCAAGAGCACAGGACCGAAGTTCTACCTGATCTACGACGAGCCTCAGAGATTCCGCAGTTTGCGAATCCAGGGAATGAGCCGAAAGCTGCAGTTGATCAAGGAGCACCGGGACTGCTGAAGTCGTGGTGGGGCGGTCGGCCTAGGAGCCAAACGCCTCCCCAGCCAAAGGAAGCCACGAATGGTCCTGGCAGCTCGGCTTTGGAAGTAATTACCAAAGCTATGCAACAACTACAAGAACTGCAGGCCCAGGCGCTTTCGAAGAACTCGACCTCGACCTCCTCTACAGAGCTCATCAAGCCAGGCTCGTCCTCACTCACGGCTCTGCCGAGCCTTTCAGGAGGTTGTGAGGCTGCACTCGCCTTTCAAGACTGGATGGAAGTTTCGTCATCGACACTTTCAGATGTGAGTGAGCAAAGTGGTGTATGGTGGGCAGCGGTTGTGGGAGCTGTTACCAATACATATGAGCGTTGGTTACAATCAACTCCTTTAGAGAGGCTGGGTATAAGTCCGGAAGGGCATGATGTATTGATTACAGGCAAGTGGGCACGACTCAACGCGCGTGTGGCTTCAATGCTGTTATCTGCGATGAGTTCAGAGCTGCGTGCAGAGATGGTGGCGCAGAGGCTGTCGCAGAATTCAGTCAGAATGGTCTATAGACTCCATACCCTTTATCAGCCAGGTGGGTCAGCAGAGCGCTCTGATGTACTGCGCCGTTTACAAAATCCAAAGGAAAACCTCAGCAGCGATACTCTAGAGGAGGTGCTGAGAACCGTTAGGGCGTGGCCGAGGTGGCTGGCCAGATGCCAGGCTGTGAACATGAGCCCACCCGATGCGTCGGTGTTAGCCCGTGGGTTGATGACTTTGACTGATGGCCACATCAACCGATCACCCGATGCTGCGTTTCGAACGTCAACGGTTCGTACATCCTTGCGGCTAGATGGACAGCCCTCCCTGGAGAATGTGAGAAGCTACCAGCGGCACTTGCAAGCTGAGCTTGAAACGCTACTGTCAAGTACTACAGCTTCGTCGATGGCTATACAACCTAAGATCAAGGCAGTCGATGGTATTCTACAGCCGAAGGCGCGAGATGCTGGAAGATCAAGTAGCGAGCTTTGCAAGTATTTCGCAAAGGCAACCGGCTGTAAACGGGGTGAGAAATGCAATTACAGTCATAGCATGAGTGGCATGGAGAAAGAACTGCGTGCAAAGAAGTGTCTTAGATGCGGGGCCGAAAGCCACCGTCAGAAAGACTGTCAGGTTGGAAGAGTTCAGCCCAAAGGTGGGACCAAGGACCAAGCCGGAAGCAAGGCGTCGTCCCCAGGAGGAGCTGCAGCAGTGCCGAGCTCAGTGGCCGCAATCGGGACATCTAGTGCGGGGACTATCCAGTCCGAGCCCATTCAGGGAACCCCGTGGACCATGGAGTCGCTGATTCAAGCTGCTCAACAGGTGGTTCAAGGCCAAGCGGCCGAAGGGTCACGAGATGGATCACCTGAGAAAACCAAGGCTGAAGTTCGTGTATTGAAGCTGAGAGATATTCGCGTATGTGCACAGAGGGAGGTTACAACTGCATTGTTGGACAGTGGGGCGACTCACAGCCTCAGAGCAGCAAGCAATCCAGAAGAATGGCAAGCTGCAGAGGAGGTTGCAGTGCAGTTGGCGGGCAACCATCAGTTGAGTATGAGGATTACAGCTTCAGGCACGTTATTGATGCCATACAGGGATCCAGAAAAGGTCAAGCAGGGCTCCGCTACCACGGCTCAGACAATAGTACCAATGGGCCAGTTGATAGAAACGCTTGGTTACACGATGATTTGGGGACCAAACGAGTGTTTTCTGGTCTCGCAGGATGGTCAGCGTCTTCCTCTTCAGGTACATGGCGGCTGTCCTCAAATGCAGGAGATTGAAGCCCTGGCACTAATAGCCCGACTGGAGGATCGCAAGCTCGAGCAGCTCCGAAATGAAACCCTGACTACAAGAGATAAAGTTCGGCTATCGGTTGTTGCAATGGAAAAGCATTGGAACCACTACTTGTACGACTATGTTGTCCGAGGCAATGATGATGATGGCTGGAGAGCTGTTCGTGATGCTCCTTTCCTCGAGGACTTGCCGGGAGAATGCCTAGCTGGTATGATACCCTCGGGGAGTTTGGATAATGGTTGGGATATTATGAAAAGGAATGGTTTTCTGACCCGAGCACAGCGACGCAAGCTTCTCAATTCCAAGCGGTGGATTGTCCATTTATTTGCAGGTGACACAGGACATTGGGAGATTATGCGTCTTGACCAAGGTGATACCTCAGTGCTGGAGCTGGATGTGGCTAGGTGCGCGGGCCATAGCCTGTGCCGGGAGGAAACCTGGAGTATGGTTCTTTGGGCAGCCAAGCACGGCAAAGTTGATGTGGTAATGGGGGGTCCACCAGGCCGAGTACAACAGCTGTGCAAAGGTGAAGATCGGGATCCAAAGAGTTTGAAGTTGGTCGCAAGAATGCTTTGGTTGTTTGCAGTAGCTCAAGTGGGACGGGAAGTTCATGGAGTTGGATCCAATCGAGACCGTGATGTTGGTTTCATGTTGGAATATCCTGAGGGACTACCCGCAGAGGAGCGATTGGCCCGGGAGCGGGAGGTTCTCGAGGCTGAAGAGCGGTCTCGGCTGACTGAGGTGCGACCTGTGGTGGCGGGCTGGGATACGGCGAGACGCTATTGGGAGGAGGTGCAGCGGCCACGGTGGGAAGCCCGAGTGGGGCTAAGTACAACCAATGGTCGGGTGTGCTTCTGGGATACAAGGATGTGGAAGCTGTTCCAACGGGAGATGCAGATGCGGACAGTTTCGTTTGATCAAGGGGCTATGGGAGGAAGTACCAAAAACAGTACAACCCTTGGTACTAATATCAATGCCTTTATGTCTCTCGGTGGTGTTCGGGTGGATGAAGGTGACGCTCTACCTGAGCGAGGAGACAACGACTATGTCATATGTGTGGACCCCTGGATTGGTTCGTGCGATCACAGTAGCGCTGAACTTCTGGAGCCGAGAAGCAAAGTGTCCACCACGGTTGTTTACTATGAGTCCAACACAATGGCGTGCCCATGTGAATGGGAACCATGCAGAATATAGAAAAGACTGTGCCACATGTGTTATGTCAAGAGGAGTTGGACGTCAGCATCGCCATGTACACCATCCAGAAGCTTATGTGCTTACATCAGATGTTGCTGGACCATTGTCCCCTGGGTTGGATGCAACTTCAAAGGGTACCATGGGCAAGAATTTGAAGTATTTGTTGGTGGCCAAGTATATGGTTCCCAAGGAGTTTGTGACGGATTATTCCGGCGCAGCACCGCCTGAAAATGATAGGGTGGCACCAAGTGGAAAGGAGGAGGTGGAGCCCACCAGGTGTGCTGACGAGTTAGATGAGCTGTTCGGCTTGGACCAGGAGGAGGGTGAAGTTCTGAAGGAGCTCCAGGTTCCAGTTGAAATTGAAGCAGCACCTGAGGGGATCATTTCCCACGATCATCTGGAGGACCTGGATGAAGATCTACAGGAGTATTATCCCTCCGAGGAGGAGTGCGACGAAGGTGCACATGAGGAGAACGAGGACGACCACAAACCTGATTCGGTAATGGTGCATGGAGATTGTGATCCTCCTTCGATGACCTACCTTACATTCGCGGTAGCGCTTCCAAACAACCAATCGGGAACGGTGCGCCGGGCCTTGCAAGATATCCTTTTGTACCTTCAACATCACGGACTACCTGTGTATCGATTCCACGCTGATAAGGGCGAGTTCTATAACCACATGCTACGAAACTGGTTGAGGGATCAGGGAGCGCTAGCTACGTGGTCGGAACCTGGCATCCCGCAAAGCAACGGACATGCAGAGTCAACCGTGAGATGGGTGAAAGATAGAACGAGGACGCTCCTTAGAAGCGCCTCCCTTCCACTGCGCTTATGGCCGGTTGCAGCCGCAATGGCAGCAGCAGAACAGCGGGCTAAAGTATTGAGGTGGAAATCGAGTTTGGCTGCGCCATTTGGGTCACCAGTCTACCTGAAGAAGAAGGCTTTCGATAAGTATGGTCCACTACGTCGGGAGATGGGGCTGGAGAGCAAATGGCTAAAGGGGGTGTACGTGGGATTGAGCACTATAGTTCATCACGGCCATCTTGTGTACGTTCCCGAGAGCGGAGATGAAAGGGAAAGGTTCATGCACACGCTCTACGTTCGGGCAAACTTGGTGGAGCCAGGTAATCCAGATGTGGAGGTGATTGTGGATCAGTTACCGAAACCGAGAAGGAAGCTTACATCCAAAACCCCGCTGGAGGAAATCGAGTTGAGGGCTGTGAAGCGTGTCCCAATGGACGTTCAGGAGCTGGCTACTACGGCGGCTCAAGAAGTACTAGACGACTGGGATGGGGCAAAGGCAGCTCACATTGTCAATGTGTTGGCAACAGCTGGTTTCTTTGAAGAGCGGAAGTTTGGTGTGTTTCGACATGGTGGAACGGTCGGATGGCTATGTGGCATTATGGAATATCCTACAGTAGCACGGTTGTTGGTGCAGTTGATTTTGGAGTCGGCACCGGAAGCAGTATTTACTTCAATCTATGTGTCGCATAATGCAGCCCGATCTATGCACAAGGACGACAACAATGATCCTCATACCCTCAACTATGTTCTACCAGTACGTTGCCCAGAGCAAGGTGGAGAGTTGTGGGTGGAGCTACAATCAGGAGATGTTCTACATGGACAAATAGAGAGGCGGGATACCTCCAAGGGTCCAATATATGGGCAGATGTATCCGCTGCGCGAAGGGGAGAGTTTCTCGTTTGGACCTCGACGTTTCCATGAAGTTGCTGAGTGGAAAGGAGATCGGACAGTGGTGATTGCTTACACTCCTGACTGCCTTGGGAAGCTGAACCAGCAGGACTTGGAAGGTCTCCACAGTCATGGGTTCCCGATTCCTCTTTCTCAGTTACCAGAATTCCATGGAGGCAATTCCCCGAAGGAGGAGAATCCACAACTCCAAGCACTGGACGCAAGGGCCTCGGATGAGGAGGAGCCTGATGCGCCTCAGTGGGAGATGTATTTGGACCTGGAGCCAGGAATGGTTAAGGTTACAGATGCCCATCAAGGAGAAGTTCACGAACCCATGGTTAGCAAAGCAGAGGTGAGCTTTACAAGGGGCATTGAAGAGATCTTAAGTGGTCTCACTGGTCCGCTAGACGTCACCTACAATGTGAGTCCAGAAGAGGTGATGAAAGACCTGGAGAAATGGCGCCCAGCGATCCTAAAAGAGGTTAAGGGGATTGAGGAGGCGATCACTAAACTTCATCAAGGAACGGTGCTACGTCAACAGTGGGTATCCACTCCAGGTGTACAGCGATTGCCGACAAAGTTTGTGTTCACAGTCAAACCCAATGACAAGGCAGACCTCTCAGATGCCAGTACATGGTATAAAAGAAAGGCGAGGTTGGTGATATGTGGAAACCTGGCGACAAATGATGGGTCGCAGGTTTACGCTGAAACAGCACCGGCCGAGGCGGTCCGAATGGCTCTAACGCTCTCGAGTCGCGACAGCTGGTGTGTTGCCATTCTTGATGTGGTTGCTGCGTTCCTTCGCACCCCACTTGGAAGGTCACCTCGCGACCCTATAGTTTATTGCCCAACCACCACGGCTACTTGAAGTTCTAGGACTTACACAGAAGCTGGAACTTTGGGGACTTATCAGAGCATTGTACGGATTGAGAGAGGCGCCAATGCTGTGGGGCCGGTTCCGGGACGATATGCTTCGAGATCTTCAGCTACCGGGAAATCTTCAGTGGAAGCAAGGAGTGACAATTACCTCCTGGTGGACTATTCGTGATGAGCAGGGAGCAGTACAAGCAATAGTTGTGGTGTATGTGGATGATTTCATGCTGTGTGGACCTAAGGAGGTGGTGCAAATGCTGGGTGGGCTGATCCGACAGATGTGGGACACGTCAGAGCTCACATACCTGGGACCAGGGAGCTCAATCAGGTTTTTGGGCATGGAGCTTCAAAGGACCACTGAGACGGCAAAGGAGATTCACGTATACCAGCAAGGTTATATCACAGAGCTATTGAGAGCACACAATATGGGTTCCAACAAGTTGGACAAGATTCCAATCACAAAGGACCTGGCGGCAATCCCGGAAGAGAATACACCAGCCGATGCACAAGTTGTCCGGTGCGCGCAGCAGGTGACAGGAGAGGTTCTCTGGGTCGCCCAGAGAACACGTCCGGATCTGTCATTCACGACGTCGGTGATGGCAGCTTTATGCACCCGAAGCCCGGAACAAGTTCTTGCCATCGGAGCTAAGGTGTTGGGCTATCTGCAACGTACGATTGATTACGGACTTGTTATTTCGTGGGAAGACAAGGACCTGGTCATGTTTTGTGATGCAGCATATGCGCCGCAAGGCGCAAGATCACATAGCGGATGGTTGGTGACCTTCGGAGGGGTGCCAAAATCATGGCGCAGCTCGCGTCAAAGTATGATTACATTGAGTACAGCAGAAGCAGAACTATTGGCTATGCTGGATGGGGCAGTGGCCACCAAGGGAATCGAGGCCATTTTGGCCGATGTAGGAGTGCATGTGCAGTCCAGGACAATAGCTTCAGATAGCATGGCGGCACTCAGTATCACATCAGGATCGAGCTCATGGAGAACCCGTCACTTACGGATTAAGTCAGGGTGGCTACAAGAGCAATTGTCGCATGGGTTGTACGAAGCAGTTCACTGTCCAGGAGAGCGGCAACCAGCGGACCTACTGACAAAGGCTCTCAGTGCGGCTCGCATTGAGGATTTACTGAAGTGGTGGGGTATTGGAAGGCCGAGGACAACGACATCTACTACGACAGCAGCGACAGTGAGGGTGTCGGCCAGAGCATTGGTTGCAGTGTTGTGCTGTATTCTTATGGTGTCCGTAAAGGCTGCTGATCAAGAAGACCGGTCATCACCTATGGGAAGAGCAATTCCGCTGGACTATGACATGGCAGGGATATGTATGATCCTTCTAATGGTCCTGGGGGCAATGATGATATGGGAGGGACTGAGATGGCTCTTGATTGAGGCAGTGAACGAGTGGACACCTGGTTCCAGGCAGCGAAAGCTAAGGAGACTTCGGCGACTACAGCAAGCTACAACCGAAGCTATCGAGCGTGAACTGGAGAGGATGCAGCAGAGCACAGAAAGTAGTCAGCAAGACCGGGCACCTACCCCGATGGCTACAGAAGAAATACTACAAGGATGCGGAGCACTTCCGAATCAAGGTCCAGTGCAAGGAGACGCATGGCTACAGAGGACAATGATGGACATGTGAGAAGGGAGCAAGCGAGGTTGAGAACTCCGAGCCCTCGTTCCTCATCCAGTACAACGCAGTTGCCTACTACCTGGTCACCAGAAGCGAATGAACCACCTGGGGAGGTGCAGAGAGTCGCCCAGGATATGTGCATGCTTATGACCTGTGAAGCACTGCGTGAAGGCTTGAGAACGGAGGGACTACCCCTCTCAGGACTTAAAGAAGATCAAGCCCGACGCTTGGGATGTCGCATCAGTGAGCTGGTGGACTCATCCCATGGGCCCACGGTCAAGCAGATGAGATATGTTCTATGGCTATGGCGTCACAAGGATCTTCAAGGTCGTCATCTACTCAAATATTACGAGGTGAACGATCGGGGAAGGATTTCAGCTCTCATTCATCAGTGGAAGGGCGTATGAAAGACAGGTCTATCTTTAGCAAGCGACCTGAGGAGGAGTGTTGATATGCCTCCACTTCGTACAGAGCTGAGTCTGTTCTGCGGGCGACTGTGGCTTCAGGCATTGGCTACGAAAGAGCCTTGAGTCATCTGTATAGCTCTAGGCAACAGTGACCACTTGTACAACCCGAAGGTCACAGACTAGAGAGACTCGCACAAATCAAGAAGTGTACGTGCTGTGTGAAAATTCGTAGGGTCCTTCGCGCTTTCAATGGGAGCATAAGACGTTGGACTGCAGACTGCTGGTGTGGAAGCTGGCTATTTGTAGGTTTAGGGTTTGGGGTTTAGGGGTTCAGGGCGGGTTTAAGGTTTGGGGTTTAAGGGGTTTCGGGCAGTCCTTTGAGGAGGGAAACAGGACTAGACCGCTTGGGGCCTGGCAGTCAAAAGGGGGTTACCTATAGCCTCCGTTGTAGTTCCGTTTTTGGGGGGTGGTTCCTTATAAGACCAAAAATATCACATGTGGTTCCAAACCCTAAACCCAAAAAAAGAGGAACTACACCGGAGGCTGGATGTAGGGCTAAGGGCATAGGGTCGGGCTCTTTTCGGGTGGGTGCAGTCCAAGCAGCCTGAACGGCTACTGCCAGTATTACCTTGAACTACTGAAACATCGGTTCAGGGTTCAGGGTTTAGAACACCCCCCCCCATAAATTCGGTACTAAGGTGTCTAAGAAGAACCTGCAGATAAAGTAGGTGCTCGCTACAGCCTTTCTGACTTGCCAACATCCCACACATCCCAAACTCCTCCATCGCATAGAGCTACATCGGAGCCGTAGTCTAACTTGGGGCTTTTAGCGTTGATCACCGCCCCATGTTGGCTGACGTTTCCAAGGAGCTACGCGACCGAGCCTTCCTGGACATCGCTGGAGTTCGAACCCAAGACCACGAGGTGCTGGAAATCCGACCTGAAGTCTTCCGCACCTTGATGCGGTTGAAGAGGCACTTGACGGCGAAGCGATCAGACTCAGACAGCTTGAGCTCCGATAAGAAAACCTCCACATGGGCCATGCAGGTACTCTGCATCATCGGGCTCCAGCCGACTCGCTTCTACTTCGACGCTCACGGCACAGACTCCCACCCCGAGACGCCGTGACCCACTCTACACGCGTCGCCTGCATGGGCTGCCCATGCGCATGGACTGCCCGTGCATGTACAGAAACGTGAGCTGGTTGTGCATCGGGCGATCGTCTGAAGCAAACGGCTGTCAGTCGGGCTGAGGTTGCCTCACCGCGCCACGTGGGATGCGCACGTAAAACCTTTCAACCGACATATCGGTACCTATGAATGACATGTGTGCATTTTGCCTCTAGCGAATCTGCTGGCACTCGTGCCTGCTAGCAGCTCGCTGCGACGTAGGCACAGCAGTGTGTACATAGTACCGCTGCCACCACAGAGTGAGTAGCCACATGGACATACCATGCGCACTCGGCCACGCCAGGCGAGAGATCGGACTTGCTGCGTTTGCAACGGCAAAGAAGGTAGGCGCTAGCTAGCTTCCGGTAGTTGCTGCTGCTCCTGGTGCTTCCACTTCATGAAACCCTAAACCCTAAATCCTAAAGCCCTAAAGGCCTAAACCCTGAAGCCTACACTTCATGACCACTGCTTCTTCCATTGTCTGCCCGCCCCCTGAACTTGTAGGCCGGAGTTATCACACCAGGGTTTGTCGCTGCCTGGATGCTCACTCCATGCTAAGAAAAAGCACTCACTCGCACCCCTATACTACGGTCGATGATAGAAGAACCCTGCATTACCCATCATGAAGAATATACCATAATTCCCATAACCTAGAGTACTTGACTTGAGGTAATGCAAGATTTGTATCATCAACAGCACCATGGCTTTCTGTCCCATCACGCATTGTTCGACGCTCTATAAACCGCGGAAACCTGAATCCTGAACCCAAGGCCCTACAGCCCACGGCCACCCAACCGTTTAGAGGTTATGGGGCTTAGTACTTAGGGCCCCAAACCAAAAGCCCCAAAAACCTGAATCCTCAAGCCTCTAAACCCCTATACCATAGACCCTAAACCCCTGTGGAACCCTTGCATGTCGGCACCCCCATCAGCCCTGACACTCTAGATCTCTCAAGGGAGCCCTACAGCCCGAAACTCTATCTCTTAAGCCTGCCTTTAAAAGGAGCACCCCTTTAACGCCTACCCTTTCTAGGCTCTTGTTATAGGTAGAGCCCTCATGTAGGAGCCTTAATAAGTAGGATAGGGTTTCGGGGCACCATTATTAACAGCATACTTAGTAACAAGACACCCTATAGACTAATTTTGGCAACTCTTGAAGCTGTTTTTCAAAAAGCCAAGTCATAAACCTTGATAAACCCTAAACCCCGAAAGGGCCCCAAACCCTAAACCCCAGACCCTACTCCAAGGCTCCTAAGAGGGTCTTGGGCTATGTAAACCCTAGGCTCCAAACCCTAAACCCTAAATAAACCATAAACTC